ATCCCGAGCCGCTCCGGTGCCGAGCCCCGCAGACGCCGGGGCTGCGGTCAGGCTGGGGGACACGCTGCCGAGCTCACCTCGCTGCACAGGGTGGGATCCGGCGGGTTGGCACCGGCTGGACCCGCGGAGGGTTTCACAAACATGAACTCGCTGATGTCCGAGACTGGCGAAAAGCAGGAGCGGTAACGTGGGGCGGGGGGTGCCGTGGCTGTCACCTGGACGCCCATCACCGTGTCCCCTTGCTTAGGCTCGTAGTGCAAGTGCCCAAAAATGTGGCTGGGAGGGGGCTGAAGCGTGTTCACGCTCTCCACACAGCAGCCCTGGTTGGCAGGTGCAGAGCCCCGCCGGAGGCACCGCACGCCCAGTGCTGCCAGTCCCACCAGTGAGACGGTGGAGATGAGCACTAGGGACACGATCAGATAAAGCGTAATCGTGGGTAAGCCCCCACCGTCGGCAGCCTGAGCCTCAGAGCCCTGCAAGGCCTCTGGGCCCTTCTCCTCCACCAGCACCACCAGCGTGATGGCTGTGGAGAGCGGGGGCTCCCCAGCATCCCGGACTACCACCACCAGTTCATGTGCAGAGGCATCCGTCTCCTGCAGGGCCCGTGTGATCCGGATCTCCCCGGAGCGCAGGGCCACACTGAAAAGCCCCGGGTCTGTGGCTTCCACGAGGTGGTAGGAAAGCCAGGCATTGCGCCCCGAGTCCGCATCTATTGCCACCACCTTGGTGATGAGAGCAGGAGGGGTGGTGGAGGGGGAGATTCGGAACTGGGTAGCGGAGTCCTCCCCGGCCCTGGGGAAATGCACCTGCGGGGCATTGTCGTTCTGGTCCACTATAAAAACATGAACCAGCGTCCTGTTCCTCAGGGCCGGGGAGCCACCATCAGAAACCTCCACATGGAATTGGAGATAGGTGGTTTGCTCATAGTCAAAGGGGAATTTGGCAGAGACCTGCCCACTTGTGGGATGTATGGAGAGGTAGCGAGTTGGATCCAGGCCTGGATCTGTCCCACCAGCTAGCAGGATGGAGTAGGAGAGGCGGGAATTCTGCTCCGAGTCAGGGTCCGCAGCAGAAACTGTAACCAGCACGCTGCCCACCGGGTTGTTTTCTGCCACCAGCACTTCGTAGGATTCTTGCTCAAACTGGGGCGCGTTGTCATTGACATCTGCGAGGGCAATTGGCAAGATGGTGTGGCGGGAGAGCGGGGGACTGCCCAGGTCCGAGGCAGAGACAGTGACATTGTAGTAGGCAACGTGTTCCCGGTCCAAACGGGTGCTGGTCAGCAGCGAGTACTGGTGCTCATAGTCCTTACGCAGCTGGAAGGGAAGATCTGGAGACACGTGACACTGGACCTTTCCCTGCTCACCAGAGTCCCTGTCTCTGACGTGTATCACGGCCACCACTGTGCCCGGGGGTGCGTCCTCGCTCAGGGAACTGGAGAAGGAGGTAAGAATGACCTCGGGGGCATTGTCGTTCACATCAGTGATTTCCACCACTACACTGCAGTGCTCCTCCATCGTGGGCGATCCCATGTCCTTGGCTTCCACTTCGATCTCATACACTGTCGCCTCCTCGAAGTCCAGGTTGCCCTGGACGCGAATCTCCCCAGTTTGCTCATCAATGGCAAAGATCTGGCGTAAGGCAGCTGAGTTGTGGCTGCTGAGGGAGTAGCGGATGTCTCCATTGGGCCCTTCGTCCACATCGGTGGCATTTAACTTCACCACGAGGGTGCCCAGCGGCGAGTTCTCCACCAAGCGGGCTCCATACGAAGGTCTGTCAAAGACCGGGTGGTTGTCGTTGGCATCCAGGACCTGAATAGTGATGTGTGTCTTGCTGGACTGGGGGGGAGAGCCCCCATCTTCAGCGGTCAGGACCAGGTGGTGGAAAGCTCTGAGTTCCCGGTCCAGGGCCCTCTCCAGCACCAGCTCAGGGAACTTCCCACCATCTGTGCGCGCTTTCACGTTGAGGTTGAAGTTCTCATTGGCACTCAGGTGATAGGTCTGCAAGGTGTTGGTGCCCACATCAGGGTCCTGGGCAGGCTGGATGGGGAAGCGGGCGCCCAGGGATGCCAGCTCGTAGATGCGCAAGGAAACCTCATCACTGGGGAACTCCGGGGGGTTGTCATTGATATCCAGGATCTCCACCTCGATGCGGTAAAACTCCACTGGGTTCTCGATGGCAAGTTTCAGGTGGAGGAAGCAGCGGGGGTTCTGCCCGCAGAGCTGCTCCCTGTCTATCCGCTCGCTGACCATTATAACGCCGGTGTTCACATTGACCGAGAAGTACTGGGAATCCGAATCGGACAGTACCTGCAGATTAGCTGCCGCCAGTTTCGCCACATCGGTGCCCAGGTCCTTCGCGATATTGCCCACGAAGGCGCCCCGGGTGAGCTCCTCCGGGATGCTGTACCGGATCTGAGCAGAGGAGCTGTGCAAGAACAAACAGAAAGAGAAGACACGCGGCAGTCCCAGGGACCGGCCCGCCTTCCCTGCCCTCGGCATCCTTGCCGGGTGGGCGGCCGGGGAGCGATGCCCTCCGCGCTCCGGGGCCGCGCTCAGCGCTCGCCGCTCCCATTCA